AAATATAATATAACCATCATTCATCAAATAATATTTTTTACCTGGTCTCCAAAAACACTGGGCATTCAATACAAAAAATGTCCAAAAAGTAATCGGCCTCAATGAATTGGCTACCCATTCAAAAAGTCCATGATCAATGGTCAAAAACACCTGAAATTCAAATCAAGTTCTTGAAAGCACTTAAAACCGGCCTAACTCCGCTTACATTAGTTGACCACGAGGTATCGCCGCTAACGTATTTTAAATGCCACCTTCATGAAGAACATGGATGCCGCACACGGCAATCACTCACATATTAGCCTCTGGAACCAAGGAACTTATTCTGGAACAATCATCTTGTATACAGGAACCAAGGAACTTATTCACCGGACTGCACGCATCCTTCTGAAGGGGCTGGAAACCGCACACCCAAGTGCCAGGAGAGCAGGAACTAGAAGGGTTGTGCCAGAGCGACGCGAGATACTTATAGCAGAAGTAGGCATGACGTCATCTCACGGCAACCAATCAGCTATCGGCACGAATCGGCTTTCCGGATGACGTAACATCACGTTTCGTTTTTGCATCTCAATTAGGTTGAAACAGTCCGTTCTCCGCAAACAGTGGTAGTAAGAAAAAAGTAGAAGTAACTAATATATTACATTAAAATAAGAACTAAGCCTAATAAACATTTCAAGGAGGAGAGATGATGCAGTAAAAGGTTTACAAGAAGTTATATTTTCCAACAAAGGTCTTACGCGCACGCGTAAACGCCTATGCGCATGTGCAGAAATTTTTTAGCTTTGAGGCCAGGATTATAGATCATTCCGGATTATGGGTGTCCGAATTAACGACTTTTGACTGTACCAGTTTTTAGTTATAGATGCACCACCAAAACAATATTCTTAAATTCGAATGTGCAGTTAAATGGCAGGAAAAGAGTTTAAGACAACAATCAGTTTTAGTGCCGCTCTCTAAAAAATAACTAACTATTAGCAGTAAAATGCACACTACATGATTATTGAAAAATCTAAGTATATGATGGAGTATATATACAGTCAAAAGTCGTTAATCCGGACTCGTCGGGACTTCGGCAATTCCAGATTATCGATTTTTCCGGGTTATAGATCATCAGTTTAAATCTAGTAAGATAGCATGCAGAAATTATAAAAGTAAAAATATGAAACCGTAATTTATGAAATAAAGAACAATTATGATCTAAAGGGTATCAACATTTACAAAAAAAAAAAAAAAAAAAAAAAGCTTAATATTTATTTGTTTGCTTTATTAAACATTTCTTTCAGTGTAAGTTGTTTAAGTTGCTTCGTTTTATGTGATAATACTTTCTCTTTAATTCTATAAACAGACATAATTTCTTGTTCAGTTACAAAGTTCCACTGTTCAAGTCCTATAATTGCTGTGTCGAGGCTACCGACTAATTTGTCAATCAAAATTTTTTCATTTTCAATAACCTCTGTGTCACTTTCTTCACTATTGGAAGCAAATTATAATGACGAGGAATTTGATTTAAATCATATCAAAGACGGAATACTTCGAGATGAAATACTACATTTAGTAAGAAATTATAAGCCAAATAAAATGAAAACATCTGCCCTGAAGATAAGGATAGTGCTGACAGATCAACTTCCAATTCATTGTGCGCCGCGGCTTTTCCCCCCGGCCACAGAGTAGCATGAAATTGATAAACAGTTTTCGGAATGGTTAGAGAAACAAAGGATATGCCTTTATCCATTTTTTGCAGCAATTTCACTTTTTGTTTAATGGACTTCGAAACATACTTTAGCTTTGTAGATCCTTTACGTATTAGTAAATATATATTGGAAATTCTATTTGACATAATCGAAAGTTCAAGCTTACTTTTATAAAATTTATATAACTGATTAAAAAACAAGAATTAAATTCACTTACCTTTTCTGATGCATCGTTGAATCTGACGTGATGTTTCAGCTGGCAATCTTCTTTACAGAAAAACCACAATTCTATTTCTTGACATCACATTTTATTTACATAAAACATTCAAAAGGAAAAAATTAATATTTAAATACATTTTCTTGTATAGCCTCTCTTTTCTCTTATGGCTGTACGAATCAATTTGTCCGTCCATCACACGGGATTCGAAACCGAACTATCTACTGCTTACAATAAGTAAATAAATAAAAAGAAACAAGGTTTTAATTTCTCTCACTAATGGAACCTCTGGCGCCCTCTAGCGGGAGAAAGCCACTTTAGATGAACATTTAACACTTATCAAAGACGGAGTACATCGAGATGAAATACTACATTTAGTAAGGAATTATAAGCCGAATAAAATAAAAACATCTGCGCTGAAGATAAGGATAGTACTGACAGATCAACTTCCAGTTCATTGCGCGCCGCAATGTCCCCCCCCCCCCCCCCCCCCCCCCCGCAGAGCAGCATGAAATTGATAAACAGATTTCGGAATAGTTAGAGAAAAAAAGGGTATGCCTTTATCCATTTTTTGCAGCAATTCCACTTTTTTTTTTTTTTTATGCACATCGAAACATGCTTCACTTTGTAGATCCTTTGGCAGCTCAAGAATAGGAAATTCTTTTTGACATAATCGAAAGTTTAAGCTTACTTTTATAAAATTGCTCTAACAGTCTGCAAAAAATAATAAGTCGGATCCAATTCGAAGATTAAGGAACAACGCAATCTGCAACATTAACTGAATTAGATAATTTTAGCTTAGCTTATACCGTCCGTTATACATTAAATGCGCATGCACACACGCATATTCGCAGCCGTAAAGGTCTTGCGTGCATGTGTCAATGCGACGCAAGCGCAGAAAGTTTGTAGCTTTGAGGTACGGATTATGGGTGTCCGAATTAACGACTTTTGACTGTATTTTTTTTTTTTTTTTTTTTTTTTTTTTTTTTTTTTTTTACATTTCTAGAGTGAGCACTATAAACTTTGTTTTATTTATTAATGCATCTATTAGGACTGGCGAGTTTCTGCCGGTGTTCTTAAAATCACTGATTATAACTGGTTAAAATCAGTATAGGAGAAACTCTGTAAAATTTCTGCTGTAAAAGGGGAGAGGGAACCTGTTAAGGTATAACAGTAAGTAATTTTAGAAATTGTATTTTTTAAAGTAAGCAATTATAGCTGTTATCTGTAATATTTTTTAGAATTTATTCCAAGGTTACTTAAAATCAAATTCAACGTTATGCTCAGTCTTACCTTTTTAGGGAATAGTAATAGTGGAAAATTAAGTTTATTAAATTTCAAAACCCAAAGAATAAAAAAAAAAAGAGAGAGAGAGAAGAATTTACTCTGAAAGAAAGACTTCTTCATTAATGAAATATATAAATGCTAAAACCACTGATTTTCTTATATTAAAACATATAATGTAAGGTACAATGTAGATTTATCATGAAGTAATATTCTACTTCTGCCCATTCTTTAGATAATTTAAATCCCATGTTAGCTGAAGTATAGCTAATAATATACAGGGTGTCTGAATCAAATGTACCTAATTTGGTGAGGTCGCGCTACTTAAGAGAGTTTAAAAGAACGGGAAAACTGTAAAATTAGATACCAATACTCACAAATTTTTTTAATTCCAAGTGAGCTTTCCTAGTAGCCCTGAGGATGCCAGCCAGTAGTCCAGTTCCAGCCATGTCTGCTGTAGCATTTCCAGAGTCACAGTAACAATAGCCGTGGTTATGGAAGCATGAAGGTCTTCAATATCACGGATGTTATATACTTCAATATCATGGATATATCTTTCACGTAGCCCCAAAAGAAGAAACCGAGACACACTGTCTCCCATCATTTGGTTGCAGTTTCTGCACAATCTGCATTTTATATGCATGCATCCTCAGTTTTCAATGCAGCACATCATGAATAGTGGATCGTGGCATAGATAATTCAGAAGCTACCTGCCTGATTGACTGATCTCCGAATGACAGCTTGTCGAACATCTTTCCCACGTGAATCAGAATACGAACGCCGATCACCTCCGGATCTTTTCCGTGCACTTCCCATTTTGAGAAGCTCGATGTGCCACTTTTTTTATGCTCTTGGCATGGGATGGATTTCTTTTAACTGTTTGAAACATTCTTTGCACTTTTACTATAGTATTTGTGTTCTGCATACCAGAGTTCTGCATACCAGAGAACAATTTGTGCCTTGTGGTGATGCCATTTTTTCGGCTCAGCAAAAGCTCAGGTGTGTCAAACACGATAAAAAAATATTGTCACGAAACTCGATGCATTCAGCTCCCACATATGGCCAATATCACCTTCATAGTGCTAAAACTTTGTTTTTAATTGACTGTTCAAGATAGGTAGATTTGATTCAGACACCCTGTGTAATGGCAAGTTATTGCTGGTTGAAAATATTTTTGTTTCTATGAAATAATCAGCTATTATTATGAACCATATTTCACTAACATCTGAAGTAAATTAGTTTTTTTAATTTAGTGATAGGTTTTTGTAGCTCCAACAAATGCTATATTTAATAATCATGACTATATTTATTACTTCAACTGTTACTGCGATTTTGATTGTCACATTGGCGTGTTTCTCTTCTGTTCTATGCAAGTCATACTTTTTAGTGTAATTAAGTTTTTTATTGTAGCAATATTTTAAATGTTTAATATTTAATTATTGATTTTAAGTAACCTATAATTTATCAATTTCAATATAATTATGAGTTTTAATTTCCTTTTTTGTCTGCGCTTATATCCTATATGCATTGTAAAAATAAACTTAAAAAGCAATTTATAAATGTATTTGTGCTATTTCTTTAATTATATATATTTGTGTGTGTGCTAATAGAAAATAGTGTTTCTAATGCTGTATTTTATTTATAACTTGCATACAGAATTATGGCAATTTGTTTGAGTTTGAGTATTACTTTTATCTAGCAGATTTTAAAAATCTGATTGTTTTCGCTTACATAACTTGAAATGAAATCCGTCTTGCCTTTTCTTCCCCCTCCCCAAATCCAAAAATAATTTTTGTTCCTTTTCTTTTCAGTTTGAATTACTTTTTTGTATTGAAGACGAAAGTGATCCTTCCATAATGCTAGTGAAAAAGTTGATGGAAAACCATCCAGAAGTAGATGCCAGTATTTTTATTGGTAAGATATTTTAAGATGCATTAACTATAATACATGTGCATGTTAATGTGGATAAGTGGTTAATCTTCTATAAGCGGGGTGAAAATGAAACTTGGCGAGTTTTTATTTGGTGCGATGTGGTTGTGGTTTCTGGCTTTATGTTTTCTTGTGTCAAACAATGAGTGTGAGTTTAGTGTAGCCAGAAGACTTTTTTAAAATTTATTTCTGAAATATTGTGTTTATTTTTAAAAGTTTTACTGTCTAATATTTGCAGGAGGTTAAACTGTTGTTGGTGGGAGAATATTGGATTTCAAATGATGCATTGTTTATAATTTATGAATCTTTTCATTTCATTTTATTTAGTTGATGTTTTTCGGGTCAGTTAATTAATTTTTTTTTAGTTTTGTTTCTTGCATGTGGCAACTGAAAGGTGTGGAATGTTTAAAGCATTGAGTGAAAGCGGTTCAGTGTGTTGAATTCTATGATGATAGTAACTTGTATATTTTAGTGAGCTTATGATGTATCCATTGTTAGTGAATTTGAATATATTTACTCAGTTGATAATTTTTTTATGCGAGTGAAGAGACATTTGGTATATATTATTTTTGTAATTTTTAGTTTCATATTTGTGGCTTGAATATTTGGTAGTTTATTTTAAATTTACGTTTTAGTTTGTAGTAATTTTTGCTTGTGTTGTATTTAACGTCATTTTCGTTTAGGGATGTTAGATCTTAATTGCTGTTTCTTTTTGCAATTGGCTATTGTGAAATGAAACAGCAATGTGAAGTTTGACATCGCAAACAAAAAGAGTTTGTTCCCAAATTACCCTGTGAAAGATTAGCCAAATAAGTATTTGAAAAGAATGTATACTAAAAATGGGCCTTATCAGTCTATCAACACTGGTGTGGTTACGAGTCTGTCATGAACCATTTACCTGTTTTATTCTTCTTTCACTGATTTTTAATTGCTTAAAGCAACTTTTGTATTGTGTTTGGTGACACCATTCCATTTCTTATTCGAATTATATTAGATTATTTTTAATATACTTTTGACATTTTTTAAAAACTAAATTAACTGTCTGCAATATGAGGCATTTTACTAATGTTTAATGTATATTTATCCTGTTTTCTCATTGTTACTCTCATATTAAATACATTCTTAGAAAAAGTAGAAATTAATTCATAATTTTTATATTTTGTATTAAACCAAGACTGGCATTCTACTGGTAGAAACTGCAAAAAGATGTTTAAAATGTATTGGTTAGTAATACTTGCTAAAATATTAAATGAAATGAGTCCTGTCTGCTTCCCTCCTTCTTTAGTGCACTCAGATTAACCATGATTTTGAGTTATATAGAGTTGGTATATTCTAATGTGTAAAATATTGCATATACTTTATAAATGAAATTGATTGATTTAATCAGCATATGAGGAAACGTTATATTAAATTGTTTTTCCTCCATATTGCTGAGTTGTTTTATGTAAATATGACTGCCTCATATATTATATAAAACACTTCAGTATTTCCACTATTGAATGCGAAGTAAGTAACCATGGCAAGTTTCTGTGCTCTTTTTATGATTTGTTAAACATAGTCTTTGTGTTTTGACTGTTTACTTTTTATACTATTTATGTTACTATTATAGTAATACTTTGCTTTTGTATAATGAAAGTTTTAAATATTATTTTATAGGAGCCCCTAAAGTAGGTGTCAATCCAAAGATTAATAATATGAACCCTGGGTATGAAGCAGCCAAGTATGATCTTATTCTAGTCTCAGATAGTGGAATCAGAAGTAAGTTCTTAAATATCAAATTGTTCTTAGTTTAAAAAAGATTGGGAGAATGGAGGATTTCTGAGGAGAATGTATGTACCTTTTTGTAGTATGGAGGTGTCCCACTTGAAAGGAGCTTCAGGAAAAGTATAATAAAAGTCAGAACAAGAGTCAACCAAATTTTTGCATGATGTGCTTTTATGTTTAAGTACAGGATTATTATAATTTAAAGTTGTGATTTCAAAAGGCTCTAACTTTAAAACTACTTGTCAGAATGACTTGATATTTTATTAGAACAATCGTGAGGCTATGGAGTTTTGTTTGGAGAAGAGGAAAAAAAAATGTTTAAAAATATGCCAATAGATGACGAAGGGCTCACTGTACTGTTCGTATGCAAATTACTCAGACGCTACTACTTTGCGTGTCAAAAACAAAAATATGAATCCCTCTTAAACGGCATTACACTAAGAGAAAAACAATGTCATTGGCTATTATGTCCAATCGTAAGTATGGATTTTTACCCATGCACGCAGCGTGTTACAGAATGCTCGTATGCGACCTGTTCGTTTGATGTGAAATGGGGTAGAGGGAAAACAAGTTTCAGCGTCATCAGGGGAAAATGTGGCCACAGTGTTACAAGAACTGAGAAACAGTGATGCAGGAATCAGTACTGCACAGGGAATTGGTTGAATGTTGGATATGCCTATCAGCATGGTGCGTAAAGTCCTGCAGAACATATTGTGCTGTTATCCGTATAAGATAACGCATGTGCAGCAGTTGTTACATTCTGACCTGGAAACACATGAATCGTTTGCACTACAATTTCTTGCTGGGACGGAAGTGGATAATGAATGGCCTTTGAATATTTCGTGACCTGACAAAGCTCATTTCCATTTGAAAGATTTTGTAAATATGCAAAATTGCAGGCTATGGGTAACCTAGAATCCGTTCCCGCTACAGCCATTACCTCTTCACTCTGAAAAGATCATTGTGTGGTGCGAAATAGCGGCAGCGTTTGTCATCAGTCAGTTCTTCGAAGAGATCACATCATTGGGTCCCGTTACCTTCATCATTATTGGCAAACGGTATGAAGCACTTTTGTATAACCATGTCCTTCTGGCACTTCAGCAACATCAGTGTGTGGATCACACAATATTTGTGCAAAATGATGCTCCTCCGCACATTCCTGCTCGTGTGAAGCAGCTCTTGATCGCTCATTTCGGAGATGATAGAATCATAAACTGCCATTTTCCAACAGCGTGGCCGCCACGCTCTTCCAACTTTCTTTGCCTTTGGGGATATCTGAAGAATGTTGTTTATAGTGGGTGGATTGCGAATCTGGCTGACCTTGAAGGCAAGCATCACACACCACACTCATAGCATCAGCGCAGATAGCCTCCGATCTGTTGTGGAACATACAGTTTTGCTCTTCCGATTAGCAGTGGAACAAGCAGGAAAGCTTATTGAATAACTTATGTGTTAATTATCCGTAAGATGTTTGTTTCATGAAGCTTCTCTTGTCCCTATTACTGTTTTCTCTGTAAATATGTATTCTTGTCTTTTCACTAATAAAATTATCGTAAACTGTTGAAGTCTATTCTTTTCCTTTGGCTATACATCCAAGAGAAACACTGACAAATTTTCAAACTATGTTTTTTTTTCCTTCGCCAAACAAAATTCCACTATCTCAGGATTGTTCTGGTAAAATGTGGAGTCATTTCGACCTGTAGTTTTAAAGTTGGAGCATTTTGAAATTGCAACTTTACAAAAAAGGCAACTAACCCTCACCTGTATCACAGTTCAACACAGCACTGCATTTTTCATGTATGTCGTTCCCAGAGTACACACGATAAAAGCTTGGTTCTGCTTGTCAGAATATGTGAACAAACGAAAAAAATATTTATAGAGTAGTGACAGCCAGCATGTAATTACCAAGAAAGCCCTTATTTCACAGAAGATGGGAGTGTTATGTGCATCACCGGGCTAATTTTTTTGACATTACTATCACCAGTGAAATGTACTAGGCACTGTTTCGGTGTACCAAATGGATGTTGAGGAGCTGACACTTAGTACCAGCAAGATAGGGCAACATGCCGCACGTCTATAGCAAGTCTGCAGTGAAATTATTTTTCCAAACTTGATCCACTTTGCTCCGTCGTCAGAACATTCACTGTAAAATCCAGTCATTGAAGCCCAAAACTGGCAGCAGTATAGGCAAACATGCAGTACAATGTTTAACTGTGTGAACTGGTGGGGGGAAATCACTTTCAGCTCCACTTGTAAGGCACCTTTCATTTCTTAAACATAAAGCCATGTCATGTAAAAATTTGGTTATATTCTCTTAGTATAAGATTTTTATCATACTTTTCGCTCCTTTCGCGTGAAACACCCTATATACTTTTTCTCTAGATCTGCGGATATGCAGCAAATGTCTGCTCACAGGCGGGAGGATTTGGGAGTGTCCAGTTCAGTCACACTGCATTATGCATTGCTAGAAATTTTTAGATTTATAAGAGGTGCTCATTTTTAGGCTGACAGTAATATCTCTCGTAATTTTGTGAGAAAATAAATGTTGCTTGCAGTATGATAAAAAAACACTTCTCATTTTTGGTTGCTGAGATATATTTAATTTTTATATTAAGTTTAACCAACATGATTTTTAAACTCCCATTTTGGTAATTTATTTTCATATCAAAGAGAGAATGATTGACTAGCAAATGCAGAGGAAAAAATTCTTTCATTTATAATTTTATTGTGTTACTTATTAAAGATCAAGAGCAAACTTAGAAATTCATATTTTTTGTTGTTGAAAACTGCTTCTCTATTTGAATCTCATGATATTTAGCTTAATCAAGTTCCCTCCTTTTTTTTAAAGTGACTTGAACAGAGACAGCATTATATTTTCTGCTGAATTGTATTTTAATCATTCAAATTGCAGTCACTCTAAGTTTTAGAATTTTTGTGTTTGAAGATGATACTTTCCTAGTACTTGCAGTAAAGATGCTTGTTCAGCATAAAATTGTTGAGTTTTCAGCAAACAATAAAAAAAAATGTATGTTTGTCCATGTAGTCCATTCAGTTTTAAGTAAGTAGTAACAGCATGTTATAAAAAATTAATGAACCATGAAATGCTTTGAATCAACAGGTTATCCCAGTATGCTCATCAATATTTCATTGTTCCATTGACATTTTTTGGGGGGGGGTTGTTGTTTCATCAAAAATAATTTTAATTTCAGTATTTTCCTTTATTTTAGAAAACTTTCTATTCAGAGCTTAGTCAGATTGTCAGTGTAATGTTTTTCCTTATTATTAGTGCGTTATTACTTTTGAAAATGTTATCTCTATAGTTAACATAGTTTTCTGCCAGGTAAGTTTCATAAATATGAAATAAATAAAATTTTCTTTGTATGCATTTCTAAAAAAAAAAAAAAAAAAAAAAAAAAAAAAAAAAAAATTTCTAGAATTTTTAAATTTTTACTTATATTACTTTTGGATCTCCCTGTATATTAGATGTAATCTTTCAGTGGGAAAGTCATGTAGGAGTGAATTTCACAGGAGCTGCATACAGTTTTCTTTGGTGATCTGATCAAGGGACTTGAAAATCTATATACTAGAGAATATTATTTCCTTATGTTTAACAATTAACAGAAGTTTCTTTGTGATCAACTAGAAACAATATCAGTTAAAAACTTCAAATATAATGTTAATACATGGGAGGGGAGGGGATTATAGCAATGTTAAATGGAATAAGTACAGCTGGAAAATAAAATGACTACAGCTTGTTGTGTTGGTATTGGAGGTTTAAAAGATGAAATCTCAAAATTAGCATTTCTTCTCCCTATCAGTTGGCATTTGAAAAAGAATGCTAACTTGTGTAGAATATTGTGTCTAGAGGATTGCTTTTTGTAAGATGAGGAACTTCTACCCATCTTCAGTCAGTTATGAATTGCTTTGAAGCCATCAAAGAGCTTTGCATATAAAATGTCCGAAAGGTTTCGAAGACCAAGGAATAGAACTACACAACATTTTGGCCATACGGCACTACCTTTTGGCCATATGCTTTAAAAGAAAGGATGCCTACTTAACTAGCCAATAAATAGATCACCTTAAATAAATTTAAAAAAAAAAAACTTGAATTAAAAGTTTTAAGGATATATGAGATTGTTTCAATTTGAATTACTGTAATAATTTGACATGCACAGCTACGGCTTTTGTGTTGAAAGAAACTTTTCAGCGTGCTACTAAAATTAAAATATTTTTTGGAGAGGGGATATTAACATATTATCCTATCAGTAAAACTAATACCTTAATGAAGTTTTATTCAAAATCATCATAAACAGTTGATTTACTTAGATTGGTAATTTTTAATGAGTTATATTGCTTTATTTTAGTTTCATTTTGCAAATAACATTAAATAATGATTTAATATGAATCCTTTGCACTATATATACTTGATCAAAAACACTGCTCATTTTTATATAAATGTGTTTAATTGCTAAAGTGCTATTCAACAAGATTATTCATTAACCAATTTTACTAGTGGGATAATATGCAAGCGCCCATTTCTGGAATGTATTTTTATAAATCCTACTTTTTGTATGAATGGAAGTGTTATATTTTTTCATGCGCTATGATGATTCAATATTAATAAAATGAAAAGTGTTTTTTTTTTTTTTTTTTTTTTAAATTTTATTTTGTGCATTAAGCATACTTTAGCTAAAGACTCTAAATTTTTTTAAAGACATTTTTGGTTGGGTATTATAATACTGCAATATAGGTGTGGTATCATGTTACGTTGAAGTCATGAACTCAATGCCATTTTCACAAGTTGGATTTTAATTTTTGCCTCTATTTTTGTAAAAAAATGTTGGTGGGCGTTTTTATGTTATCCTTTTTGGAAAGTTTGCAGTATTAAGTTTTCTTACTGTTTTAGATAACAGTGTATTACTTTGTATTAATAGTGAAGGAGGATACGCTACTCGAAATGGTCTGTGCTATGACTGATAATGTGGCTCTTGTTCACCAAATGCCATTCACATGTGATAGAAACAATTTCCCTGCTGTCATGGAAAAGGTATTGTTGCTTATTCAAGCATGTATATGCTTTATTGATTTTATATCAATTTGTGTACCATTTCAGCGAGTGAACAAGTTTTTAAGTAGCAAATTATTATTAGTATGAAAACATTAAAGGAATTTATGAAGACTATTACATTGTCAACTGGTTCATAAAATCATATACAAAAAATGGAACCAAGCCAGTTTAAAAATGAGCAAAATTCTGAGACTGAGGTACATACTTATTATCCTGTCGACCAGCTAAGTAACGCAAATTAGGACCAATTGTAGATGGCTCACTTCCTTAAGAATTTTCTGTAGTGAATAGCAACTTGCTAAAATTTCTGCCAACAGTCGACAGGATAATTCATAAGTACGTATGCAAATTTTAAAAAAGTGTAATGTTGCACTTCTTCAGGATAAGAAACTATTTTGCAGCTTTTTTCCTGTTAATGATAAATCTTTTTAAAAAAATACAGTATATCCTTTTAAAGAATAGGTAAAAATATATTTACGGATACCCCTTGGCGATAATTGGCGATTTTTTGGCAATACATGGATACCGAGTTTGTGCTATTCTTTGACTTGTTATTTTGGCTTGTGTAGTGGCAGTTTTTGGCCAAAATAACAAAACAAAGAATTGCACAAACTAGGCTTTGCAAACCTCCTTGACTTAGTGCACCTCGAACTATATTCACTTTAAAAGTCAAAGGAGCAGTCAAATAAAAGAATGTATAATCTCAATAAACTACATTTCAAATCAAACAATGAAATAACATAAAAAAGGAAATTCATCTTTGCTTTACACAAAGGAAATATCCACTTACCTTATTTAGGAATTAACACCTCTTCAGTCAAACCAAATTCCTTAACAGCATCCAAAAACTTCCTAAAATCTGATCTCTAGAATCGGATACTGGCATTGCCAATAAGTTCACAAAAGAGTAAAAAATCCTAATAAGCGCCTTTTACGGCGGAACGTTTCGACCATATGCATTTCCTTCCTACAAGCAGGACACTTGATAATGGCTACTAAGTAAACCTTCATTTACACACCAGTCAAGTAATGCTCTTTTCCTCTTTCTTTCCAAATCGAACAGAAACTATCACATTCAGCCATTTTACCATCTAAGCTACAAAACCAGCAATATACTTCCTAACCAACACACACACAAGCTCTTACAAATTTACCGTAATCATGCAACCGATTACGCCATAATAGGGTTTCCATAACATTCAACTACTTAGGCAACGATAAATGAAACAACTTCGCGATAATACAAATAATTAGATTGATCATTAATTAGATTTATTGAATTCGGTGCAAAGACTGTAAAGTTGGACTTTGCCTTGAAGCTTGTTTTGAACTCTTATCATACTAAACTTCATTTCTAAGGTAGTTTTTCCCCCAGTGCTTTATATTTTCTTAAATTTTATACATTTTGCTTTTTTATATTATGCAATAAATAGAAATTAACTGTAATTTGAATGGAATTTATTTAAAAAAATTTTTTTTGGTAATATGGTTTTTCTGGCAACTTTAGTTTCTCATGATAAAAATCTATGTAAAGAGTATTTTCTAGAAAGGAATAGTTCATTTTTCAATTCTCCAATTGAGCAGTCAGAGGGTTAATTCAGCTGAATTATTTTAAAGGAATGGAAACTATGCAATAAAAAACATGCATGAAAGGAACCTGATTGCAGTAAGGCAATAAGATAAATCAGCTATATTTAAATATTCATTCTGTTTATTATGTGGGCACTACGATGCATTTTTATAAATAGTATTAATAAAATTAAAGTATATTTTTTGTATGTTTCAAATTTTAACTGTAATTATTATTACTTAATATGGTAGCCTTTTAGTATTCACCTAGGGCAAGTTGCTCACTTGCCTCTTCCTTGTCCCAGCTAAGCTGACATACATTTCCCCATGCTTTTTGATACGAGTTTTCTCATTCTCGTCCATACTGTGTGTACTGTATTTCATATGCAGATACCAAGCTTCCTTTGATAAGAAAAATGTTCTGTATTCTAAAAGTTTTGATAAATATTCACAAATGTAGACTGAAATCTGAACTTAAATTCTAGATTGTTAAAATAATTAAATGTCATTTATGTATACATATATGTAAAATAATATTGCCATAACCATTTGCTTCAAACTGGAGCTAGGAATATGTAGCTGACCAAATTGGGCAGCGAGTTTAAAGAGCGATAGAACTATAATGGCGTAGTTCAGATATTGTGGGAGTCAATTTTGCACTTAATGCTGGCATAGAATAGAAAGAAATTAATGAAAGTTTGTCACAAAAATAGTTATATTGTCAGTTTTGGAACAGAAAATTTGTTGTATGTTAATGCACTTGAAATATCAAAGTAAGTGGAAGATCATATCCATGTTTTTGTTAAAATGTAAAGTTTCTGTATATTGTGCATATGGAATACACTAAAGGCCAAACAATATTAAAAGAAAATATTCTGGGTAGGTATGTACAATCTGTGGAAATGCAGAATAAAGCAGTTTATTTGTCCTCGATGATTCTTGACAATAAGCAATAGAACTATATGGTGTAGGTCAGATATTGTGGGAGGTGGGTCTTCACTTATTCGTGATCCCAGTTTCAACATGCAGAATTATCCCGTGCTGTTATTTTGTTCTTCACATCTCTATTCATAATCCTCATCCTTGATGACAGCATTGAAGGTGTTTCATGGTACTTCAGCTTCTATTTTTTACTGTGGGAAGGAGTTGTACAGTAATTATGGAGGATCTATAAACATTGTCGCAAATTACTTTATTAAGCTGGGTCAAACATGTCTATGATGCATGTGCAATATTTCCACCACAAGATGCGTTTGTCCTCCTTAAAATGTTACTTGTAGATAACCTAATGAGATTCATGTATTAGTTCACCTGAAACATTATGCTGTCCCCCCTCCTAAATATAAATGAAGCAGTACAAAAACATAAAAGTTTCCATTGAATTACGTAAGCACCATTTTATGACTTTTTGCTCAGGCAGTTGACAAATACTTTTTTTAAAATAGGTTTATTTGTAATCCATGTTGTCTGACATCTCCAAAAATGTGAATTCCTGGTAATTCAGAAAATTTTGAAGTGACATGAAAAGATGAAAATCCCAGAAGGCATGGTTTAATGAAGGGACGAGGTAACAAAATATCTCAGCCATACTGAATAGGTTTTTGTCTGACATTCATTGAAATATTGCTTGAGTGTTTTGCCATAATCAAATAAGCAAAAATCAAACCATCATAAAAATATGGATCCAAGCATTGTCATGATTTGTGAAATAGGTTAGTCTTTGGCATTTTGCCTCAATTTCTGCTTTTAAGTTGCCATTTGGGCACAGTATTTTTCTGAATATGTTGTCTGATGTAGTGGCAACAATTCATAGTGTACAATTCCTATGTAATTCCACTATACACGTAGCAGTACTTTTTTGGAATGTAGCCTCCATATCTGTCTTATTAAAGGAGACTCTTCAAGGCTGACCTCTTTATCTTTTTCTGTAACATTGTTTATTAGAATCCTCTTTTCACCTCCAGTAATAATCTGCTCCTCTTTTCACCTCGAGTAATGATCTGCTAAAAAAAGTTTTTTTTTTTTTTTTTTTTTTTTCCAGAAAAGAATCACTTTTATTGTTTCATCACTTTTATTGGCAAGCATATTCTGTTCTGGGAGGACCTATAGATTATAGCTATGCACATACCCAATCTTTATCAAATGGCCATGTATTGGACTTTTTGCAATATTTAGCCTGTCTGATAATTCCTGAGCTGTTTAACTTGAATTTTCAGGAATGGATTTTTTTATTAAGTCCTTGTCAATTGTTTGCAAAGGATGGTCATCCAGAGTGAGGATTATCTTCAAGGCTGAAATTTCCACACTTAAATCGCCTTCAAACTGTGTCATCAAAAATAACTTTTTTTTTTCTATATATAGCATAATTTGTTTATGGACTAGCATTTTTTTACCCTTTTTTAAAAGAACATAACGTGATAAATATATAATGAAAATGAACTTTAGGGTTATCCATTCTTTAACATTACATTGAAATAAAAGCTATGCCCAGCATATGCTAGAATGAACCTGATAAATCGTATTTCAAAATCCATGTCAATCAAGGTCACTGTGTCAGCAGTAACAAAATAATTAACATGTTTCAATTTGAAAAACTGCAGAACTTTTTAATGACTCAATATTTTTAATTATAATAGAAAAAACATATAAGTAAATATATGTAGTTCAGAAGTAATAAATTTTATTTGTAATTCCAATAAACAATAAAAATGTCTTATTGTTATTATATTACATATAACCCTTTTCAGTTTAATAAGGAAAATAGCAAAGCATGTTCATATAAAGTAAAAAAAAATAATTATATTAAAATTCTGATATATTAATAGTATTGTCCTGCTTTTAAAATTAAGTAATATGTTAAATAATCCATTAATTTTGCTCATGTACTTTTATAGTTGTGTAAATATTTATTTAGCCAGACGTAATGCCATATTTTAAATTTTGCTTTTTTTAATGCCCTCAAGGTGTATTTTGGAACATCTCATGCAAGAATATATCTTGCTGCAGATTTGTTTCGAATAAATTGTCCAACAGGAATGTCAGCTTTAATGAGGAAGAAACTTCTAGATGAAGTTGGAGGGATGAAAGCATTTGGCCAGTACTTAGCAGAAGATTTCTTTTTTGCCAAATCATTTACAGATAGGTAAACTTTTTAAAAATGTATAACTTTTTATGTTACTTGTAAAGCATAGAATTATTCAATTTTTTGTTTGGATACTTTATGCTAAGTTCATTTCATGAAACTTCCTTGGTTATTGGACAATTTTTAATTCTTGTCATGTTCTCTGATTTCAGAGGATGGTCTCTCCGAATAAGTTCTCAACCAGCATGGCAAAATTCTGGTTTATGTGAAATAACGAATTTTAATAATCGCGTATCAAGGTAAATTTTTAGCAATATTAGTTTATATAGCTACCTCAGATAAAATAGTTTTAATAATAAAATTGTGTTACTTAAATTTATGCAACTTAATTGATCAATTTTATGATATGTAATCATTATTAAGTTTGATTACTTTTATTTTTCCCTCCTCCAGTATTGCAGCTTGCCTGGTTATTGCTGCACTTAATTTAAGAAAAGTGGGAATTTGTATGGTCAGGCTAAAAAAGTTCAAAGATTTAAGCTGTAAATTTTCTCAAAGAGAGATGTAGAACTATGATAAAAGAACAAAATTTGTATATGAAATTTAAAAGGAAAAAAAAATATCTTACTCTTCTAATATCGTATTTGCTAACATTTTGTTTTACTAAAATTATGATGAAAGGCTGTAAAATCTGTTACTTGATCTCGATGATCTTGATCTCGAGAAATTTTGCCTTTCTGGATGAAAGGTATTCAGAATAATGCTTTTGCCCTCTACATTTCTGATAATGTGCCACCAAAACAAATCTTTCATTCTTCCCCCCTCCATTATATGACCCCTATATGTGCTCCAGTTTTCAAAAATTTCATTCAAAATTTTTCTCTGCTTCTACGCCACTCAGTGTCATGCAGCTCAAGAATGGCAGGTGAGCCTCCCTTCCCCATAAGATAAAGTAAATCATATTCTGTTATTATAGTACATTATGAAAGCTAGTTTCATATGTAGGAAAGCATCTGTTTCTGAGACAGCTAGTTCTTGGTTCATGTGAGAAGTCTCTTGGAGAGTTGTAGACTGCTTGGTCACAGGATTTAACCCCATTGTAATTTTCCTAAATATTATTACAAAATGCTCAGCTGTGGTAAGATAACTTCCTTCCCCCAAAGTGGGTTTAGGGTTACGAGAAAATGGCAAGGGAAAACGGGGGCTTTTTTTTGGCGAGAAATCACCCATTTGGCAATAAAATTGGCAGTATGCCGTAGACAGATAGAGAACCTTCGAGAATAAATTCTTACCGGTTTTTCTCAGAATGTTCTCAAAGGCAGGCTAAAAGCTATATAAACCCTACTTGTACGAGGAGTAGCAGTCTTTTGAGTTGATTGTCAGTTTAGTGGTCTTGTCAGTGTATCACAAGTTGGTGCATCAACAGCATGCATCATCGAGGCTATTGAGTTTATCATGAGTTGTAGAATGGATAGTCTCGAGAGTACGTCGAGTTTCGAGAATAACCGAACCGAGTCAGGTGCGTACTGTGGTGCCGTGCCGTGAAGCTCTCTTCGCCGTTTATAGCCTGATAGACTGAAGACTGTGTTGCTGATTGTGTCAGCGTGTTTGTCATAGTTTTTTGACAACTGTAAACGTGATTTTGGAACTGTCCTGAGTGATACTGGCTAATAAGTTGTGCTTTCATTCTTCAAGTGTTGTTAATCACTCGAAGTCCACAAACCCGTGCAGAATGCAACAATGTATTTGTTTACTGGATAATAATTAACAAATTCCAATTCTTAATGTCACGCATAAACAGAAATTCAGAGTTGCCAACTCTCCCGATTTTCGACCGCTCTCCCACCAACCCAATATTGTAACAATATTATAAACAATATATTTAGCCAATGAGCTCAAGGCTGTTATTTGGATGTTCTTTATTTCGTTCATCTTGTCCTGATTTGTGTGAGTACACGTGCCTTCGGGAAATAGTTTTAGAAAATTATCATCTTTTGTTATGTCTGTGTGAAAGGTAAAATACTCATGTACATTTCAAAAATCGTACACAGTTGACTTTCCTTCCATTATTTCCTCAAGGAAATGTAATAAATTTGCTATGTGTAATGTCTGCCGTTGCAATTTTTCGATTTCGCTTGGTGGAAGGGCGGATGTTCTCAAGCATGTGTGTACACAAAAACACAAGGACAACATGAGTTGGTTTGAAAAAAAATTAAATTTTTCTTCGGAAACAAAGAACCGAAAAGTTATTAATGCAGAATGTTCTGTTCTCTGTCTTTTTACTGGAGCACAACCTGCCACTGAATGCATCGATCACGCTGCAGCTTTATTTAGAAAAATGTTTCCCAATAGTGAAATCGCTAAGAAATACTCAAGTGCAAGGACCAAAACAGGTGCAATTGTTAAACAAATGGGTTTGAAAAATAATCTTCAGTTATTGATTGCATTAAAACAGCTCCGTTCTGCCTCTCTATGGATGGAAGCAATAATACCGATTCAAAACTATATCCAATTGTTGTTTCTTTTTTTTAATCCAGAGTCTTCAGAAATTGAGCGCAGTTTACTTTCTGTCCCCATTTTAGAAGGACATGCGACAGGCCTTTAATATAGCACAGCTAATTATTAAAACTTTGAAAGAAAATGCAGTCCTTCTGGATAATTGCTTAGCACTTGGTGCCATAATGCACCAGTAATGGTAGTCTTGAAGACTGGTGTTGCAGGCATCTTAAGAAGGAAAATTCAGGTTTGCAAATTATGAGGTGCACCTGTCACCTCTTAAATTTAGCAGCTGAAAAAAGGACAGCTTCTTTACCAATAAATGAGGATGACCACATTGTTGATATTTATTTCTGATATAAGGTACTTTTTGAAGAGATTTTCTGTGTTACTTAATTTAGTCATGAAAGATGATGATATTGATGTTGCCACTGATAAATATTGCAGTCGCAATTTTGCAGTTTACAATTAGAAAACTTGGATGAAGTTGTAAAATCAGCTAGGATTGACACCTAGTGGAGTTTTTATTGGAAAACTGAAAGGTGCTGATGAAATCTTAAAATATAGTGAACTGTCTAGAATTATGTTGGCTATCTTGACAGTTCCCTTTAGTAATGCGGAGTGTGAGAGGATTTTCAGTATTGTTGCGAAAACGAGACTAAATTTAGGTATAATATTAGTGATGACACATTAGAAAAACTTTTTAGAGAAAGCAGGCCTAGGTGGCAATTGCTATGAACAAAATTATGAAGTTTTGTTCTTAACGAAAGCAAAATCTGCCACTGTTCATAACAATTTTATGAAAACTAATTTGATTTGGTATTTAAATAGCTAATGTTAGTTGAATTGTAAATTAAATGGTTTTATTTCCAGCGCAGTGCAGCGCGTGACGAATATTAAAGGAAAGCTAAGCCGGAAAATTAAAAATACAAGAGCGCGTGCATTTAACATTTAATAAATATCTCTTTTTGCTTTTGAGAAAACTACAGAAAGTTCTCGTGTGCGATTTAAAAATTTTATAAAAGGGGGAAAACCTCTCAATTCGAGGGTTAGTTAATTTGTTGTTGTTTTAAGAGTTTGTTTAGAAAACTGCTCTTGTTGATTGTAGCGAATTCGTGGATTAGCTTTTTTAGCTGTTTTGAATTAAGTTCTCTTGAACGTTTGAGTAGTTAGAAGATAACTACTGTGATATATTGTAATACTGCACGAATATTTGAGGAAATTTATGCATTTTTTGTTGTGATAATAATAAATTTGTTCATTTTTCATCGGATTTGTGCATTCAATTCAAACGAACCCGTACACGCGCAACAATATATTAATTTAGCAATTGTACATTGACTTTATCTGTGATAATATGATAGTAATGTAAGAACCTGATTTTATATATATATAAAAAGTAAATTACTTTTTTTCCCTACATTTAGTTGTGTGGTTGTGGAAGTTTAATATGAAACATTTTTGCTTATGGTGCATTTGACATAACATTTAAAGAAGTTACAAATGTATCTTCTTCAATGTTCAAGGTGTTTTGAGAAATTGGTTGATCACTGTCCTGGGTGATGACTTTTTGCCCAGCAATTTTTTGAATCTATAGGATCATTGTAACAGTGCTTTCAGAATTCCAACAATTCCAATGTAAACTATCTTTTTTTTTGGGGGGGGGGGAGAATTAAAGAAGTCTATTTAATAAGTTTTTCATAATTCTGGAGGCAATAATATTAAATTGTTTTATATTATTTTAATATTTTTTAAAGAATGTCTTAAAAACAAACATTTTTTAATGCCAGAAAATTTAGAAAATTCCCATTTATAATTAATGACCTGGGCATGATTTTTTATTTTCTGAATCATACTTGGGTAATTTCATGAAAACTTTATGATATAGATATGTTTTGATAAATGTAATTTAAGAGTTGAGACATGATCTGATGCTAAAAGTAATTCAACTTGGTGAATTGATGAAATCCACTTTTATTAGTCCAAAGGGGATTTGTCCCTGAGGGACTATTGTTTTCGTTTTGCAACGAATCACTCTGAATGTCTGTTTCACTTTTCAAACTGTTGCCACCAAATATTATTGCCCTGTATTATATTTGAAAAAATTAGATGATGAACAATCTGCATAAATGTATGTATGTTTCTCGCATTGTGATAAAACAACGGTACCTATAGCCATCCAGTTTCGAATGACGCAATCCTACTACGAAAATGGGCATCTGAAAGTCCAAATTTAAAATTTGGAATTTGTTTTATTATCAATTTCATATTTTGTAAAACTTTAACAACTTTTTGATTAACAAACTCAAGGATTTCAAAGAGCAGTGCTGTATAGAAAAAACATTTTTATCTCCAGGGCGTGAGACTGTGTATTCGAAATTCTAAAGATATGCTCAATTTAAAATTACTTTGTGATATGGCTGTTGAACTGAATTTTATGTTTAAATGCGAAGAACGTGATATTTAATAAGTAAAGGTAACTCGCAAAATGTTAAAAAAAAAAAATAAAATAAAAAGGCCCCTTTGGACGTAACCTTTTAGATTTTCTTTTTGTTGTTTGATGTTAGAGAATGTAGAGATTTATTTGGTGCAGCATATGCAACATTTATCTGCTGTGATTATTCAGGCCATGATTTATTATTATCCTTTAATATTGATGTTTTTGTTTTTGCATTTAAATTTGAATATGATTTTCATTTCTGTTTCACTTTTGTAGGTGGGCTAAATTAAGATTTGCAATGGTACCATACACAATAGTTTTGGAACCTCTTTCTGAATGCGTTGTCCTGGGAGCCTGTGCTGCATGGGCTGTCAACGTCCTCTTTCAGTGGGATGTTTTCGTAGTGTACTTAGTCCACATCTTAGCTTGGCTAATTTTAGACTGGGTTCTCTTGAATGTAATACAGGTACAGTATTTAAATTGCTGGAGCATATTTAGTTGCTTCTTAGATTTTCAATATGTGAAAGAATAGTGCAGTGCTTTGGAAATAGATTAATAATTATATTTCGTATGTGGATTATTTCAACCATGAATTTCTGTATAAAAATAGTGAATTTTGTATATTTTTATATATTCACTTTTTAGATTTTCTTAGTTGTTAACATATTGTGAATCTTTATTTCTGTTCAAGGATATTAATATGAAATTTACAGGAAACTTATTAGTGACGTACAATATTTTGGCTGAAGATTAAATTAGAATTTCATTATATGTTTCAAATTTAAGTTCCATTTCTGAAACTGTCCATAGAACTTTAACCAACGGAAAACTATTTGCTGGAAAATCATATTGGAAACAAAAGTACTACGTTTTGGTTTTGTGCTTTCTGAATTGTAATATAGATGACAGTAAGAAAGACAGAGAACATTGCTTCATTCTCTAGACATGAAGTTTATATTAATATGTACCAGGTGACTTAGTTTAAAAAAGAAGTGAAGGTTTAACTAGCTCTCATTTGATCTCTGGCTTGTGAGAAAAGCAAAATAAATGGAAGGAAATGGTATGTTTTGAAGTCTTTTACAAAATATTAATAATTCAGTTACACTGTGTATAATAAATTTGTGCTGATCACATCTTGGTTAATCTTTTGGACAGGTGTGCTTTAGCCTCAGAAACTTTATTACTTCAGCAAATTTAGATTGATGGATACTGATATCAACTTGTTTCTACCTTTCTATTTCCTTTACATTATTAAGTTTAAACTTTCAACTGTCCACTTGACAGTCACAGAAGTTTTTTTTTTTTTTTTTTTTTTTTAATGATGTATACGGTTTCTTTGGATCAGATTCCAGAAACTGGGAATGAAATATAATTCTTTAATTCCCTACCTCTTGAAAATTTCTATTATGTTTTAATGCCTTAAAATGGTGTAATTTGTGCACATTTTTTTTTTTTTTTTTCCTTTACATATAAGTGTACAAAATAAATACTGCATAATCACATGTATTTTATTTATATGTATTTCCACTATTTTTGTATATTAAGTGTTAAAATTAATTTGTGGCCCTTCATAATCATAGATTTTGAGTTTTTTCGAATGCCAGTTTTTTAAAATCAAATATTAAATGCTGCTGGTGGCATAACTTACAAAAGAGTACATTAAGTAGGATATTCTTAATTCATTTAATGTGGAAAAAGTGCTCTTTGAGGCTTAAGGAAGTGGTATTTGAATAATGAGAGCATGAAGTGGTTGCATGATAAAACATGGCCACATATAATAAAAGTAGTTGAAGAAATCGTATTCCTTGGGCCACGAATTTCATTTCCCTAATGAGACCGCTTCCTATTGCAATTCCATTTGTTTGCTTTTATATCAGTTGGGAATATAAATGCTTTAAATCACCAAAACAGGTTTAAAAAAAAAAAAAAAAAAAATACATTTAACTCAAAGCATTACCTAGTTGAGGAATGATTTGTTAACAACCCAGCTGGTGTGTATGCAAAATATTTTTAACCTCCTTACCAGTGAAGCATATTTCAGGAACATGTAGCATAAAAAAAAATTTTTTTAGGGGGCTTGTTTACTCCTAGTGAGCTTCTCTACAACTAATGATGTCCAGCTTTTAAATAAATGTGGAGCAAGCTTCGCAATATATTGATAAAACAGTCCGTAAATGCCATTAAGCATTTGATAAAGGAAAACGAACTCATTTTAGACTTCATAGAATAGAAATGCTGGTCCTTCCCTTCCTGAATTCAGTTCAGGCATTTCCAGTTTTGCACGAATAGATTACCTGAACTGGATTTGGATGACACTGTAAGGTATTAAGATACCACCAGCCTCCCCCCCCCCCTTTTTTTTTTTTTTTTTGAAGGGAAGCCACAAATTTATTTGTACATCTATAAATGCCTTGTGTTTTTGTCAGATTTTAACATATATTTGTTTTTCAGAACTCTGCACTGCCATTCAGTAAAATGGATTTTGTAATTGCTTGGATGTTTCGTGAGTTAGGTGCTTTTTACCATTATTGTCTGGCACTTTTTGACCCAAAGATACAATGGCGGACTCGTACATTTTACTTAAAATGGGGAGGCCTGGCCGAAGAATTTAATCCTCGAATATGAACTTCTGCAGCATCTCTGATAGGACAGTGACTGATGCAATTGAATGAGCCAGTATATGAAAAAGTCTCCAGCAGGTACCTGATGATTTTCAACTGGCAACTACAAAACTGTGTTATCAAATTTTTCTTCGACTGCTGGTCAGTGAATTTGTGGCTTGTGATGTACAGAACAATTTTTTGTACAAAGTTCCTTTAAAGGAGTCCACTTACTGTGATTTATTTTACCTCCCGAAGGGACCGCTCTTTGCTCAAATTATCATGTAGTTGATTGTTTCTCCTAAATCCTCCTACTCATGTGTGCATGTGAATCTGTGCCCACATGTGCAGATTTAACCAAGTCTTTTTATTCTGTGATTTGTTTGAAATTAATGACCGCCTTCTGACTCTTGAGTTACTGCAATTATAATAGTATTCAGTGCCTGAAAAAAATTTGTGAACAGTCTTACTTGTTGCTGCCAAGTTTTGTTCTGCTTGCTCGTTAAAGGTATGGACAGCTGCCGTATTCGAACTCTGTAAGCTGCTCCAATCAATCTGACTTTATCATATTGGAATTATTGTTCGTTTTCAAGAAAATTGATCATCATCACTTATCTTAATTGCAGTTTTTGATATCAAAAAAAGTTACCTTAATCGACATCACAAAGAGATTTTTATCAGTTGGTGATGATTTAGTGCATTTCAGAGTGCATAGTTTCTTAATCAGAATTACATAATATTTAAGCAGAGCAAAACTCCCTTTAAAAAGTCATTTTGTTTAAAATTATATATATATATATATACATTATATATGTTCGTGTGTGTCTCAATGGACTCATTAATTCTTAATCACCTGTAAATGTATGTTGTGTTGTTTGAATAGTCTATGGATTATTTTAAACATTAAATTTAGTTTGTTGGTACAAATCATCTGAAAATGAAGATATAGTTATATGTAGATGTACAAATTTTACTGTATATTATAAATGAAAGAATTTAGATATTTAGATACCATCCCTTCTTTGTGGTGTGAAGATAAAAATTTATTATTCTTACATAACATAATTAGGTAAAAATTTATTATCATGACTACTTAATTATTGTTCCAGTATGTGTTCAAATTTCTCAAATTAACTGGGGGAGTGCTATTAAAATGTTTCAGTTTGAATCGTTCTTCAATGAAAATATGTCAATTATAGAAATCAAATGGTCTGTAATCAATTTTCATTAATAAATTCTTTTTAGAAAATATATTTTAATATTTTAGATTTAAAAAGTTTTTATCTACTTGTTTTTAAAATACTGTACTGCAAATATGCAAGGTATTTATTTTGTGTCTTACAATTAAGATCTCAGCAAGTATTCCTTTTTTTTCTTTATTGAAAACAAATTTGGGTACTCTTTATGTTTGATTTTTGTTTTTTCTAATCCTGGGACAAATGTAAACCTTCTAATCTTGTGAATTCAAAGAAACTTTTTTTTTTTGTTTGTTTGTTTGTTTCCATTTTTAACAATGCAAAGCAAAAATAATTATCTATACATCTTTTTTAGTTGCAACATCTTTTATGATCTCCCTTTTTAAAAAAATGCAATTAAAAGGATTTCATATTTTCTTTTTTGTTTGAAATTTTGTATATTTTATCTTTGCTTAACATAGTACTTATTAAGTCCAGGTTTAAAGCTTTATTAAGGGGGAAAAGAAATTTTTGGTAAAAAAAATCTTAGATTTATAAATTTATCATCTTGATGTTTTCCCATCCACTAATATACACTAAAAGGTCATCATCATACAGCCACAGATATCAAATGCTAAATGCCATACTTTTTTCTATTTGAAATTTTTTGTAAGAATGTTTATATGTAGCTTTGAAGTGTTTATAAATTTTTGAAATGCAAGATTTTCTGCATAACATATGTTATTAATACTATGTGCAGTGCTTAATATCCTGGTTTTAATTTTTCTTTTTATACATTTATTCAGTTTATAGTTTCTTATATTTAAATTTGCTGACTAATATCTGTTAACTCTTTTTAGTGTAAGATTTAGTATTAGTTGTATTTTAATTTATTATGAATTATTTCTTGAATTGTCCTTAATCTAGACCTAAATAACAAAATAATAAAATAAAAATAAGTTTCTTTTAAATAATATATAAATTAAAAATTTATTTAATGTAAAATGAAAATATATTTGTATATAGCTTTTTTAATTCATACTTGCCTAAGTAGAATGTGTAATATTTCAAAAAAAAAAAAAAAAAGCAGTATCTTGCTCATTGTAAGATTTTCATATCAAATACTCCGTCTTGTTAACAATAAATGTTCATTTATTTGTAAAGGATGTCTTATGCTTCTAGGTACTTGCCTCATCTCTGCTGCATTATGCCGTGTTCTTCATTGTTAAGTTTTAGTTGTAATGCAAAAATTTTGAAAACTAACAATGAAACTGTAATTATGGAATGTGAATTTTCAGCTGTAGCTTCACTGTTAGTTTTCAGAGTTCATTTCTTGAATTTATATGGTTTGTGAAATAGTGGTTGTGAATTTCTGTTTTTAGAAAGTAGGTAGTTTTATAATGTATTTCAAATGAGAAATTTCTTTCATTTTGCAGTTCATTCAACACCTCCCCCAAGATAAATTTTGTGTGTAAGATTATCTGTTTTGTATTGATCATTATTCTCAAAAATTAAAGCTGAGTTAATGTCTTTAATAATTATGTTTACAATTGTAAAATTTTCTTTTGTGATATGTGAAGCAAAGAAATGTATTTACAAGAGGCTGAAATGTGGTATTTTAATTTCCTTACTGTGTGATACACAAAGAATGAATTTATTATATTTTATTAGCCCCTTTCATGAAATAATGTTTGTTAGTGAAATATTTAAATGTTTTCATTAATATGGTGGCCTTTTGCATGTATTCTCAGCTAAGAGAAAAACTATTTATTTTTACTCAATATCCATATTGTGTTTATCGATTCAAGGTTCCAAATCTTCCATTTGTTTTAACATTCCATTTCATGTACCATGAGTGTAGTGTCAGCAAGGTGAAAATTTGAGTGTTTTTCCAATAACTTCAGCAGAGTTTATTAATAAAACTGATGAAAAAAATAATTTTTGTTGTAGTTGTAGAAGTCAGTGATTCTGTTATGTTTTTTGAAATCTTGAAAGTTATGTTCAAGATGTGGCACTCTTTAATGAACATTTGCGAAGGTATCCTCACATTAAAATTATTTCATTTATTTTAAAAGCTTGCTTGTGTTACATCTGTGCAAATAACTCTTTTTAACTGTAAAAGAAATTGTCATATTTTTTACTTCAAAACAAACATTTATTAGACTGTTACAATGTATCACTTGCCATCTTATTTCAAATGCCAAGAAGGATTGTTTTTTCTATTTCATGTTGCAGCAAAATATGCCATCTGTTTATAAATTGGTTCAGGATATTAGTAACTAACAAATGAACTTCATCTGTAAAACTGGTATTAAACTACTGATTTTATTGCAATTCTAAAACATACTAACATGACTGTTAGTGGTATAATTGATACCACAAAAATATATGGATTTGTTGATAGCCACTTGTTACTAATTTCAGTGTAGATACTAATATCTGCTGCTACTTGTTTAAATTGCAGTGGCTATGCGAAGATCATTATTTTAGTGATTGATGGGCAAAATTGTAAGATTTGGCTATTGAGATGAAAATGTCCAGTTTTTAAAATGCATTCATTCCTATAATCAAAAACATTTTGATGAATTTGGATTATGTGATTATTTTTTCACGAAATGAAGTTATGTGCTCCAAGTTTCAAATACATTTGAAAGGATAGTATGTTGTTGAATTAAATCAAGTTTCATTTAACGAAGTGCATTCTAAATTTTTGCAGATGTGTTAATTTTTAGAAGAAATTTATGATCTTGCATTTTATGGGATTTCCTTTAGTATTTACTGAAATTAAATTGGATTTTATTTTTTCTAAAGCCAAAGCAGTTTTAATTAACAGTAGCATTAAAAGGCTAAAATCAGTTGTATATTTTTCAACAAAGAATGACTGGAAAATTAATAGCTTTTATTTTGATTTATGGAATAAGTTGAGCATGGAATATTGGGTAACATGTAAAAAATCGTGTAACATGTAAACATATGTTGAGAATGAAAGTCATTTAATTTTTGTCAGCATTTCTGAAAAAGAAAAAAAAATTTTTTTTTTAATCTTCTTATCTGAAAATATATATTGTTAAAAGTTATAAACCAAGCTGTTTTGTACTGAGATAAGCAATATATTGCATTAAGAACATCTCTTATTCTATACCAAAATTCTGTAGATATTCAAAAAAATTATTATTTGGATGTTAAAATTTAGTCTAAAAATCATCATTCATACAGCCAAAAACTCCTTTACAGAATTGATGACGAAAGTTCACTAACTTTAAAGTACTTATTGATATGAAAAGCAAACAACATTCATTCATTCCATAGTAATGAGATACAAACACACTTCTCATTTATAAAGGAAAAGAAAAGAGGGGTAAAATAATTACCCCTCAAAAAGTCTCCTGATTGTTTTTAAATTATTGGGTGTCTCATTAACAACCTGTCCGCAGACGTAAAAGGTCGCAGGTAGCATAGCCATGAGGTCAAGCAAGGGAAATGTCTTCTCTTTAGCTGCAGAAGTCCTCTCTATAGTCAGTCAGATGTGCTTGGCCAGAGCCAGTCACATGTGTCACCCTCCCAAGTACTGACCCCGACCGCTGCTTCTTGAAACAGGAAGTGAGGGGAGGAAATGAAATTTTTGAAAGTGAATTGTGTCCTTAAATTATCATCAGGAATGGGATGTCATTTAATCTTCCTCTTCCGCGACTTTCATGATAGCATTGGTGCTCGAAATCCAGCTGCTAATTTTTCTGCTGTTCCTTTGGCTGCTCTGATTTTTCCTATCTGATCGATGATGTTTCCTATGAAGTTCAGAATTTTTGGGTCTTGTAACCAAAATCAAGAGAAGAAAAAAAATGCATTATTTCAAGTACAATAGGCAAGGAACACCAACTGCTATTGGCTGAAAAGGTATTCTTCTTGAATATATATTTATGTGGCGCTTATGGATCCGTCATTTTAAATGAGCTCCTGTCTGTTGTATTTATTGCATTAGTCTGCAAAGAGATAACATTGGTGCATATCTGACAGATTAAAAATTAAGTGTATCTTAAATTATGTCATTTAGATGTAATTTAGAAAACATGGTAAAAAGAGATTGATTTCAAAATCTCCTGAAGTGTTTAAGCAGTTATAGATAGATAAATTTGAAAGATCTTATGCTTTGCCTTATGGCAGTATTAATGACTATTATTTGTAATGCTGCACAGAAAATAATTAAAGATCTTATGTTTCACTATAGTTACATAATTATAAATGACAAAGATATTTCTGATGTCAGAACTAGCTTTATATGCTAGATAAGTCATAAAAAATTGCAATATTTGATAAAGTAGCATTGTTTTGTGATTTTTCAAGCATTTACAATGCAGTTTCCAAGTTGGGAGGATGAGTTCTCAGAATAAAGAATAACTAAACATATATATATATATATATAATGATTGCATGCATCAATTCATTTATTTTATATTCATCATTGTTAACATATTTCTTTTCAACCATTATTTGAATACATTTTATGGCAGCTGGTGAGAGATAAAACATTCCTTTAATAAATATGAGTTAAAGCTGTAAAAAGAGGAATAACAATGATATTTCAAAAATATAGCTAGAATTTGTGAAATTCTGAAAATCTCATTATGGTGAGAAAATGCTTCATACTTTTTTTGAGTGGAATATAAATACCAATCTGAGATTTATAAGCTGTAGTTTTGTGTACCAAATGTACATTCTTCTGTGACAGTTTATGTAAACATAAACTAATTAATAAAAAATTAATGAACTAACAAAGTGTGCTTCAAGGTATAGACTGCAAATTTCATGTAACACTGAGGATTCATTTTAATTGCAGAGAATGGAAAACTGCAAATAGGTCTTAAAAATGTAGCTACTAAACTGATGTAAATTGGCAGTATAAAAATCTGTTTGGGCATGCCATGTTGATCTGTAACTTCAAAATACTGGCAAAATTGAGAGTTTGATAATGAAAAGCTTTGTTAATTTTTATTTATTTAGTTTTACCTTGCTTTTCTTTGAGGATTTGAAATTAATATTAACAAATATATTCTTTCTTGGGGGGGGGAGGAATGCACAGATCAGCTGTGTGTTTTTATTTGAAGTTCAAAAGTTGTAAGACTTTTCTTGTGATGTGCATAATATACGGCATTAGAAAAATCTTTTATAATCTATAGTAATGGGCAAATGTTCATAAAACTTACGAATTAAATCGTGAAATGGCTATATTTGTAAATTGCATCCACTGGAGATAATCAGAAGTACTTCTATTATTTTTAAATTGTTCATTTATACTGTTTTAATTTGAAGGCTAATTTAAAAATTTTATTACATTAACTGCAACATCATTGAGAACTGGTGGTATACAAGGCTACTTAGATGATATATGAAAGATCTTATGCCTGGAAGTTTGGTAACGCTTGCCAGACTACATGGATGATAAATGCCTGGCAATGTAATATAGTGAACGTTGTGGGGAGGGGACCAGAAAGGGTGGTTATATATGTTTATGATGATGGTTAAAAAAGGGAAAAGGGCTGTTTATACATGAAATAGGAATGCAATTTCGTGACATTTTAAATCTTTCTTTTGGCATTCTCTATACTTAGACTGTTAGTTAAAACTGTTGAGATGTCTAATTCTTAGTTATAAATTGCCTATAAAAAATACTTTTTTTGTGTGCTGCATCTTGGATAGTTGTGGCAGATGTTAGTAGTAAACCTGGTATACTTATTAGAAATATTTTCTCTTTTAATATTTAGTATTGTAATAGTGCCCAGAATGATTTTGTCAATACTAATTATTTTGTGCCAGAATGCTTTCCTGTATTTGCAGTTGTGATACTATTCTGTAAAAGAAAGTGAAAAAGCTTTAAAGAAAATTTTTATTTGCTGAAAATTGTGCCTGTGTGAAATAAATATTGGTGAAAGGAGGTGAAAAAAATCTCCCACAGCCTGTGCAAAAAATCCTGTACTCAGGTCTCCAGACTATTAAGAGTTTTGGGAAAACCCTGCTTTTCACTTGTTTGAAATGTGTAAAGAAATACACCTGTAATAAAGTGTAAAAATTTGCTGTTTGTGTATTTTTCAAATTAATTTAACTAACATCATCATTATTTCAATATTACAGATAGCTGTCTTTGTATATCAGAATTCTTCTCATGTAGCTTGCATGAACCTCCTACCACTTAACAGGCAAGCAAGAATTATGTATCTGTTCAGCTTTATTCAGAAAATATTACTGTTGAACAGTCTCTGCCATGATTTGAATTCAACATTTTTCTTGATTAGTGGTTACTAAAACTACAGTACTAAGAATAGCTTCTGCAACACTTAAATTCAACTATCTTAAATTAGATTACTCTTTTATTATTCAGGATGTTTCAAAATATTGTATCTGATGAATACATTTTTAAAATATACAAATCGAAAATGTTTTAATGATTATCAAGCAAACAAACAAAACACAACCCTAAGTAAACACTTTCTTACTTTTTTATGACGGTTTTGAAAGACAATATGAGGAAGAAACCGGGCGCAAAAAGCTTGAGTCTGGCCTTGATTGTAACACATCCATTTAAACCCTTAGATAGTTCAAAAAGTGCATTTTTATTGTCATAGAATCGATTTAAGGGATTTCCAAGCCCAACACCTCATCAAGTGCCCCATATGATTGTCTTAAAATTCTGTTCACGGGATCCGTTATGAAATTTTTACTGCTTTTATGAATATTACATAATTTATCTCCCCAGTCATTTAGTTTCAAAAATAAGATAATAAATTTCTCGTATATTGATAATTTTCAAAGTGAGTTGGCTTTTCTTAGCCTTAGCCAAATGGTGTATGCCACTGATGATACCCATCAGGGATGTTTTCTGTGATTCTAGGAACAGAAGGACAAAGGAGCTCAGAATGGGATTGTTTATTCTTTACTGATGAAGATCAATGTAGTCTTACTAATCATTCTGGGTGTCTAATCATCTGGAGAGAGCGAAGAACATGCAATCTCTTGCTCCAATATCATTTAATTGTATGTTTTTCAACATCGTTTAAGTACTATTGCAGAGGAGGCAGAATTCTAGTTTGAGACAGTATAATGATTGGTGTCTGTATGTAGCTCCACATCCTTTAAAGAGGTTCAGTCACTGGTGACAGCCCTGAATTTCACTTCATAAGTAACAACGCTGCATCTACTGCACTGAACTGTTGGAGACTGAAGTTATTTCCACATGATCCACGAAACTAATTCCATATGAACATCTGCGAGACATTTTTGGGAGATGCCTGCTCTTGTATTACTGCTAGCAAAGATTCTGAAGATGCTATCAGTATTACGAGAGGAATGGCTCATAATGCTTCAAAAGCTAGTTGATGATCTCTATCTGAACATGGACAGCAGGTACTTTTAAAGCTTTATACTATCTTCAATCGCAGTCAGGAATGATCATATCGTCTTTTAAGCACAGCGTTTTCCTTACTCTGCACCTGTCTTCTCTCTAGCTGTGCTAGGAAGCCATTTCTCTTGCGACCAGTACCCAAATAATCAATGATATCAGAATGACACGTGTTCAAAGTGTTAAATCCGAAATTTAGTCCCATAAGATAAAAAATACATAATGTCCTAATAGTCGGAAGACATATATACAAGAAGTATTTGTGTTATATTTTTGGAGTCCAAAGTAGAAAGCCTTATCAACCAATGAAGTATTCAGAATGTACACTACCTGACATTGAAAATGAACACCATGAAGAAGTGGCCAAAACGTAGTGAAACTCTGCATATAGAGAGGGACAGCAACGAACAATAAGTGATCTTCATTTCGAAATGATATCCGTAATACGGAGCGAAAACAGCATCGGCTCAGTAGCTTGGTTGGTTGAAATGAACCGGGACACCCAATGATTCCTATAAGTAAAATAGGTATTGTCCTTTTGCACTTCTATTTAGAGCTACCTCCCCCCACATACACACTGGGCCATGCAGCATTTATTTAAATTTGGTAACACAGTCAAAAGTCTTTAATCCGGAACTCAAAGCTACAAACTTTCTGCACATGCGCAGTACGTTTACGCATGCGCGTTTAATGTATAATGGACGGTATAAGCTAAGCTAAAATTATCTATTTCAGTTAATGTTGCAGATTGTGTTGTTCCTTAATCTTCTAATTGGATTCGGCTTATTATTTTTTGCAGACTGTTAGAGCAATTTTATAAAAGTAAGCTTAAACTTTCGATTATGTCAAAAAGAATTTCCTATTCTCGAGCTGCCAAAGGATCTACAAAGTGAAGCATGTTTCGATGTGCATAAAAAAAAAAAAAGTGGAATTGCTGCAAAAAATGGATAAAGGCATATCCTTTTTTTCTCTAACTATTCCCAAATCTGTTTATCAATTTCATGCTGCTCTGCGGGGGGGGGAGGAACATTGCGGCGCGCAATGAACTGGAAGTTGATCTGTCAGTACTATCCTTATCTTCAGCGCAGATGTTTTTATTTTATTCGGCTTATAATTCCTTACTAAATGTAGTATTTCATCTCGATGTACTCTGTCTTTGATAAGTGTTAAATGTTCATCTAAAGTGGCTTTCTCCCGCTAGAGGGCGCCAGAGGTTCCATTAGTGAGAGAAATTAAAACCTTGTTTCTTTTTATTTATTTATTTATTGTAAACAGTAGATAGTTCGGTTTCGAATCCCGTGTGATGGACGGACAAATTGATTCATACAGCCATAAGAGAAAAGAGAGGCTGTACAAGAAAATGTATTTAAATATTAATTTTTTCCTTTTGAATGTTTTATGTAAATAAAATGTGATGTCAAGAAATAGAATTGTGGTTTTTCTGTAAAGAAGATTGCGAGCTGAAACATCACGTCAGATTCAACGATGCATCAGAAAAGGTAAGTGAATTTAATTCTTGTTTTTTAATCAGTTATATAAATAGAACCTGCATACGTCAGTGGATTCTGACAACTTCGATCAACAGTAGTTGATTAATTACGTAATATAATAAAAGTGGCGTCCGCGACAGGATGTGTTGTCCTAAAGAAGAACTAGTTATTTATGCTTTTGAAAACAGAAGTACTTGAAATATGTTTATTTTCTGAAGATGCATTTTGTTGAATAGATATAAGTTTTATGTTTTTTAATAAAAGTAATTTCAATGTAAAACAAATTTATGTGTAAGATTCCAATAAAGCATTGAGGAAATAAGATTACTTTAAAATTTAAGATAAAATATTTGAGTGGAGTTTAAAGTAAAAATGAATGTTGATATGATATAGAAAAACGTGCAACGGCACGCAGTGCTTTCACTAGAACGGTTAAGGTTCTAACGAACGAAATGAGTAAAAATGCTCAAGCAGATAAAGCTGTATTAAAAGATAAAATTGTGAAGTTACAAACAATAACTGCTGAGTATCTTATGATTCAGAGGTACTAGATATATTAATTAGGGGCAGTGCAAATGAAGATGATTTAGAAACCGAAGTTATATATAAGCTGTGAGGAATATTCTGATGAATTCATCACAATTGAAAGAAAAGTTAGTGAATTAGTAAATGTAAACAAAGTTCCAAATGATGCAGTTTTTGGTAATGCTGATGTCAGTAGTAACTCTAAAGTCAAACGGTATAAATTACCTAAATTGAATATAAAACCTTTTGATTCTCAGTTAATTAATTATTTGCCATTTTGGGCACAGTTTAAGAAGATACATGAAGATAAAGAATTAGATGATTATGATAAGTTCCAATATTTGCTACAAGCTGTAGAACCTGGAACTCGTGCTAGGTATTTATTAGAAAGTTACCCGATAACTTCAGAAAATTATTCGAAAGCTTTGCGAGCTTTTCAAGAGCGTATGGGGACAAAGATATTCTTATCGAAGTTTATGTCAGGGAATTTTTGAAATTAATTACTACAAATGTTCAAGCTAGGGGTAAAGACAGATTATCATTGTGTGACTTATTTACCAAGGTAGAAGCACATTTAAGGTTTTTAGAATCCATGGGGAGAATCATAGAAAGTAATTCAGCCAGGCTATACCCCATAATAGAATCCTGCTGACCTGATGATATTTTAAGAGCATGGCAGAGATGCAATATAAGGGGAAAGGAAGATTCTGATAGTGAAGCGAGTTTTCCGAAGTCGAGTTTAACGTTGTTAATGAACTTTTTGAAGAGGGAAGTAGCGGGTGAAGAAAGATTACAGTTAGCCAGGTCAGGCTTTGAAAGTATTATCCCAAAAGAGAAAATACTGAAAAGGGATAACAAGTACCCTACTGCAGCTGGTTTATTCGCTGCTAAAGAAATGTCGTGTTTGTTCTGTGGTAAGTCGCATGAAAGTAAGAACTGCGTAGTCGCCAGATCGTTCTCTCTGGAAGAAAAAATAAAGAAAGTCAGGGAAAAGAACTGTTGTCTGAAATGTTTACGCTTTGGCTACCGTGCCAAAATGTGTAAAGTTTGTACGCTGTCATGTCTGCTTAAAACCTCATACAGAGCTTTTCTGTCCTGAGATAGGTAAAACGAAAGAAATTAGTGATAAAAGTAAACCCCTAGCGAATATCCAGAACACACTCGCAAATCAGCAGTGTTCAAAAGAAGTAGCTCTCATGACACTAGAATTACTAATTAAGGATAATAAGAAAATTAAGAAGGTTAAGGCACTATTGAACAGTGGGTCCCAAAGGAGTTATATTTTAAAGAGCACCGCGAAAGATTCTCACTACAGCAATGATTACCCACACGGTATTTGGAGGTGAAGAAATAGAAGCTAACCCTCATAGAAAATATAAAATTAAGTTAATTGCACCGGGTAATGGTCACAAATCAGTTATCACAACCGAATTCCTTGATTAAGAAAAGATATGTGGGAACATTCCAAATGAGTCTGTTCTAGAAGAGCTTAAGAAACGTAGATTATGGGTGTCAGATATTGGTACGGTTTGTCCTGAAATATAAATTTTTAATTGGCAGTGATGTTTATGGCCAACTCTTAACAGGACGAATCAAGCAGCTGAACAACGGTCTAACAGCAATTCAGACAAAACTTGGATGGACAATTTGCGGTGAGTTAGAGA